CATTCAGAAAGTTGTCAGCAGCAGCTAACTGTGAGTTCATTGTATGTGCAGACTATGCAGGGACTGGATGTGCCTGAAAAGCGAGTAACCGAATGTCACCGTAAACAATCTGCAAAACAACTGGCTGCCTAAAGATGACATAAGATAATATGATTATGCTCATAGTTGGTAGATATGACTGCTAACTATCAACATTAATTATACCTTGACGACCCGTATCTACCAGGCATTACCCTTCTACCTGCATTCAAGCCATCATTTTCACCATAGATATTGAGCTCAAGCCTATTGAAATGCCTCTCCAGTTCAATTAGCTGATTAGTTAAATCCTGGAAGAGGCAACATAGAAAGGCCAACAAATCTCAGATTGCACAAATATATAACAATAAAATTTATGACGGCAGACCAACCTCATTGGATCTTAATATATGTTGCCGTTTCATCTCAAGTTCATAATTCAACTTCTGGCGATTCCAGAGCTCCCAGTATCTATTATCAGAAGCTTGCTTGACAATACCTTCCATGTATGTCTTCCTTGCCAAAACTTAAAACAGTTGAACAATAATTTGGTAACTTAAAACAAAAGATCTAATACTTTAATGAGACTATCAAAAGAAACAGATAGACACATAGGGTGAGCAAGTAAAGACGAAGCCATCCAAAGAAAAGCATCTTCTAAACAAAGACTGTCTTCGTATCGTGCTTGAAATTATAATTATTTGAGAGGGAATTATGAATACTAAGTTAAAGGTGCAGCATATGTAACTCCCGCATCAACTCAACTAAATCTAGCCACTGTTATAGTTAGGTTCCCCATCTGCTATGAAACAAACAAACGAAGTGTCTGATCATGTCTGCACAAGTGTTTACCATTTTTCCCAATGAACCGTGAGCACAGATTTCACCCCACTTTCGCAAATACAAAAGAAACACCTAAGTAACCGTTTATGCAATAAACTCTATCAATATCCAACTGTATTACTTTATGATATAATTTATTTTTCAGAGATTATTAATAACTTTAGACTGGCTTAAACTAAAATAGTTTTAACATCAAATATATCCCAATTTTCATGCTTGGGATGAAAAAGATTCAACAATCATAGTATGATTCTTGGAACTCTATGACTTCGAAGATCAGTAAACCAGTTATGTGTTACAAAGGGGATTTAGAATTCAAACTGAGAAACATATTCCAAGAGGAAAGATGCAACTTAGATATATGACTGGCTGTCAAAACTTGGAGAACTAAACAGGCAATAAGGCAGTCATAGAATACGCAAACCTTCCGAAAAGTTTGTCACAAGAACTTTATCAATTCCGTAGTATCACTATAAAAAGCAGCAAAGACAAGACACCCTTAAAAAAATTTGTTAAGAAAGATCCTACCAATTTTTAGTAGGATCTAATGAAGAGTATGATCAAGTGAGAATCCAGATTATAGGGGAGGAAAGAGATGCCGTCCCTGAATGAGGTAATATCCTCAATTAGTGCGGAAGAGAGTAGAAGAGGAGTTATGCTTGAACTCGAATAATTGATGGCTTTGCATGGTAACTAAACCACGTCAGTTGGGATTGAACCAAATTACAATAAAACCTTAACTACCAGTGAGAAGAACAGAGAAAATCTGTGGTGTACCTTCAAACCAAGATACACCCACAAGAAGTATGGGAAGCCTCATGAAAAGTTGACCACCTCGAGCAAGGATTGGGAATAAAGAAGAATAAGAGACATACATATGTAGCCCATAAGGAGAAGAACGCAAAGACTTGTGATTTGAAGGCAGAGATTGAGTGATTACAGATCTGACTTCAACAGCTTGAAAAACCTAAAGGTACATATCTCATACACATTCAGGTATATTTCCTATTTCTCATGGTTTAAACAACTCAGATAAATCCTTCACTTTGTCATGATTGTGGAATCAGGAGCTACTGATCACGTGACAAATTCCTTTAAGTTATTTAATACTTATGCTCCATGACCCAGCAATAGAAAATTGCCACTTCTGATGGTTCACTAGCCATATTAGCAAGAATTAGACTCATAAATCTTAATCCCCACGACACTCTTCAGGATATTCTCATATCTAAATTGAGTATAAATATCAAATCAGTAACAAAATTATCTCATGACCTAAATCGAAAAACAATTTTTTCATGCTTTTTGTGAATTTCAGGATCAGAATTCAAAGAGGATGGTTGGACGAATTTGAGGCTTAAGAAGAATTATGCTTCTTGTCCAAACCTGACATACCCAGCATCGTTCTCTCTACCAGCATATTGGGTAAGCCGTGGTTGTACCACAAGAGACTAGGACACCCTTTTTTCTCCACCCCTAGGGTCATGTTTCATTCTTTATTTTCTCACTATACTAATAAAAGTTTATATTGTAATGGATGTAAACTAGCAAAACACCTATGTGTAAATTTTACTCCTAATAATAAAAGAAATGATTTTCCTTTTCAATTGATTCATAGTGATATTTGGCGTCCCTATAATATTTTAACATATCCAGGGTACAGTGGTTTATTTCTTTTCTCTTGATTATGTTATCCAAGAATCTCTAGTTCATTCAGCTATAAAACTTTTCAAAGTCAAAGTTCAAAACT